TCCCCCCCCCCCCCCCCACCCAGGTGTGGTCCACGGGGCAGAGTTATTCTACCTGTCCGGCTACCCGATGACCGGCCATGACAATTTCCGCTACGACAAAAGGGACCAAAGAATGGCCTCTATGATCATGCAAATGTGGGCCAATTTTGCCAAAAACGGGTGAGTGCTGGATAAGGCTACTTCGATTGTTTTAGTAACACCTGAAAAAAATTCATTATATTGGCCACTATTATTATTTGCTTCGCGCTTCTTCTAACATTGTGAGGTTTTCTTAGAAGCGCGAACTCAGAATTTAGCGTCTATCTCTTTAGGACCATCTCCCTGAGAGATGAATAAAATTGGCTTTAAAGACTCCCCAAAACAACCCAAGTTCGGAACGCCCCGGTAGTGGATACGAACCAGGACCATCTACTCCGTGGTCTAGTATGATACCAACCTAGATAACAGTGAGACCACTCTGATAAAGATAGTGTGATTGTTTTAGTCACACGACACGTCCGATGGAAGACGCACACAAGTCGGTTCGTGGTTGGCGGGTGCTCCAGTGCGGTTTGCTCCTTCTTTCCTATCAAATATCCATCTCTCTTATCTTTCCGCTTTCTTGTTTGTATTTGTTACACTCTTGAAACTTCTCAAATTGTTGATACTTATAGGACCTAATCGTGTTGTAAGTGCCGTAAAGCTCTTTCTAAAGCACATGCACACAAATTGGCAATACCTCACCTCGAGGGTCAGTTTATTCGTATACCGTCTCTGTTCCTGTGGATATACAACGGTGACACCCATTAAGTATCAAACTCCACTATTTGCAAATTGAGAAACCAAAAATTTGAAAGAAAATTGCACTAGAGTCTAGTGCTGTGATGAAAGTGACTGGGTTATTTCATCCCTCAGAGACAAGTTCGTTTTGGTTGGTGAAGGTGTGTGTGTGGTTATTACGTCTCCCGCGCTCGCTCTAATAATGAAATATCGCATTTTCCAAAGAAAAAATAGGAGCTGGGGAGTATGTGATAAAGGAAAAACGGTTGTCTTCTAATGACTGGGTAAAAAATAATCATGTTGTGTATCATTTTTTTAAAAGAAAAGGGTTTGTTCTCTTCACTATTTAAAGAAATATTCCGACTTTTCAGTTTGCGCCAGGATTTAAATTGTGAGCCAACAATTTTTCTTTTTTTTCCTTCCCAGATTGCCATCACTTGTCCCCAAAGAAGATTTCTACATGCCGCCCTTCACCCACAACAAACCTGTCTACACCAAAATGACCACAGTAGATGGAGAGGTCAAAATGGCAGTTGAAGTTGCCTTTAAGCCGGAGAAAATGGCCTTCTGGAATAAGCGAGTCCCGAAGCTTTATCTCAACCAGCTCCGCCACGACGCCCATCTGCTAGACGAGACTCCGCCCGGAAACACAGGAAGGATGGGAAGGGGCGGAGCTTCAGAGGAAAATGACCTACCAGACGGCGTGGTGCGCAGGGCACCTACTTACGTCACAACACATCCTTCTAGCAGTTGGATTTTGATCGCTGCTTGTATAGGGCTGTCTCTTCTTACTGTGTTGTTGTCTGTGTGCTATTGTCAAGTGAGAAGACAGATGAAAACATTGATACGACAGAGTAGTGTGGGAAGTGGGCAGGCAATATTGTAGTTATTGTAGTAGTTGTTATGGAATCTCAAGATTCTTTATATGTATTGGAGTCAGAGTACACATCATGTCTCAGCTCAAAAGGTCATGAAGTGGGGGCTAAAACTGCTCCTTCCTCCTTGCGCTGGAGAAGGCGAGTTTTTCCTAGTCCTTCTTTCTTTTGCTAAACGTTTTCCACCGTTTGCACAGAGAAATTGAGTTTATTAATACACATACCTTCGCTTATTTGATATGAAGAAATCTAAGTCCGTTAGGTGGTTTCTACTCTTTGGCTACATCGCCGACATCAATCCTGTAATGTCCTTGATCTAGAGACAGAAATTGGTCGCTTTTAAGCAGAAGGGGGCTGTCCCGAAAAATGATGTTTTGAGAAAGTCCACGGTAAAGTTTTTGGACCCATGATATCTTTCTTTAAAAGACAAGGAGGGTTTTCTCTATAACTAAACAAATCTACATAGATTTACATACCAATGAAAGCAAACTTCTCCTATAGGTAGGCTAATGCCCACTTTTGGTGTAGGTCAAGATTTCTGGAAACCCCCGAAATCTAGGTTAGCCCGCTTGTCCTTAAAGGCGACCAAGTGTGCCACAACATGGTGGAATCAGGCGCTCGTCAATGTTTGGGCATATGGAGTTATTGATACCATATTAAATCAAGTTTTGTTTCTTTGTCTTATGTTTTTAACCGTCTATCTTGAATAGAAGTATAGATATTCCCGATTGAAAGGCGGGGGGGTCGCCTGATCTCTGAAATAAAATTAACGAGGAAATGGCCGCCGAAGTTTGGTGACATCTAAAGTTGTAGTGCCCTTGAAAACTGCAAAAGTACAATTTTGTGTGCCTTTGATCAACGCTTTTCAGTGAAAACCCATGCAGGGGTGTGTTTTAAGTGGACATAAAAGGTGTTGAGCGCAAAATCAAAAAAGGAAAAAATGATAAAAATAGCCAAACGGGCTGGGAAAATGACGATTTCTTCAATTCCATCATTTTTTTTCGAGCCCCTGATTTCATCACAATGCCACACATTTACTGGTGACGTAACCTCATAGTCCATGTTCCCTTTAAGTGTTGTCACCGCATCGTGCGGACTTGAGGTTGATTCCAAGTGCTGTATTCCATGTCTATTTAATGTGACACGCTAAATGTCTAAATTTTACGTAAATCAAAAATTGTCTGTACATTGACCTAAATAACTCACCTACATGCTCCACCTTTTTGTACACGAAGATAATGATATTTCCTCTCCAGCTTATTAACATGAACGTTTAAGTCATGGCCTATTCCGTCTTCTGCGGGGGGAAAAAACTTTCTGGCTTTCTGAGCAACAGGCCCGATGCCAGTTATTTTTCTTTTCCCGTTCCGAATTGTCAGTTTAATTTGTCTAGTCCCAACTGCTCCTTTAAGTGTGATGGTTTATTTCGATGTAAAGAAATATTTCTAGAAACTTTGCTGAAATGGCTACATTCATAAACCACATCCCAATCATTTGTCCCTTCAGTTTTTCAAATAGTATGTACCCACCAATCAAGCATTCAGTCAATCATTCAACAGTGAATCTAAGGAGCAAATAATTAATCGAGTGAGCACTTATAAACGGAACTCGCCCTGTGAGCTGTTTTGGAGTAGCTCACCTTTAACTCGTCGTAGATCTACCTCAAAATGAAGAGCCGGATATTAATATATGTGTTCAGAACATCGGTCAAAGCGCAAGGGAAAATTGCTTAATAAGGCGTAAACGTAGCACAATCATGTACCTTCGAATCAGAAATACGATACTCTTTCGGGAGGTTCAAACTATTAAGTAAACCATTGGATTCAAACTGTCAAGAAAACCATTTAACTTTAAGTTTAAGCTCGAAGAATACAAGGTAAAGTCCGATTTTTTAGAATTTGACGCGCGCCTTAAATTGAGCAGTTTCAACTCTTTAGGTAAGAGTGAGAATAGTTTCAACACGATTCATGTTGTAGTACATGAATTTGTGATGGTAGTCGTTTCGGGGATATGCCAACTACAATTTAAAATAATATGAGTGTATTCTGGTCGTCAGTTCCCCTAGGAGCATGCAGGAAGATTTATCTCCGCTTTTATTATTTTTTAAAATTAAACTGGGCTAATAATAGCAATACCAACAATAGCAGAAGCAGCAACAACAACAACGCCAACAACAACAACAGTGACAGCACAACACCAATTAGTTATTGGGTGGTTGTTTTTTTCTCAAATATAACTGTCTTCATGAACAATAACAATAACAACAACATCATGGTCACTACCACTACCAGTGCCAATAACAACAACAACAACAACAACAACAACAACAATAACAACAACAACAGCGACAACAACAGCGACAACAACAGCGACAACAACAGCAGTAGCAACAGCAGCAACAACAACAACAATAGTGACAGTAGCAGCACAACATTTTTAGAACGCTGCCATCAAGGTCTTGAAAATGTTACTTAATTACATGTAGGCCAATGTATTGTATTCACACCTCTACCTGGGTGATTTTGTCGAGGACTGGTTAAGTTAAATGGACCATGATTTCGCCGATATTATGATCTAGACATTCTGGTTTTGATTAAAATTTTTATTAATATTACAATGTATTTAGAAGGCATGGGAGTTTTTTTAAATAAAATTATTTGTTGTTGTTGTTGCTTTTTATGTTTTAAATTTATTTATTTATATTTTATTCTTACTATTCTTACTTACTTACTTACTTACTTACTTACTTACTTACTTACTTACTTACTTACTT